TTTTCCGACCTAATAGTGCCAGATATGGTATACGCGGAAGCCTCAAATTCTAGGGGAATCTCAGGAACTATTTTTATCGTGACTGTGCCTTTAATGCACCCTGAAGGGCCTAAAGAAGGTCATCCCGGTCCCATTCCAAGCCGTCGATTATGCAATGCACACGCTAAATCACGATAGAATCAAACTAAAACACCCGAAAAGCCTTCTTACAGTTATCGCCAGAATCCTAGCTAGGCTACTCATGCGGTACTTGTCGGGTTCTCCCGTCGTGGGAGACTTTATCACTCTGATAACCTGGCGATCTTACTACAAATCGATATCAGATATGTGATTGAAGCGGCGAAGTATAAACCCATGCTAACGCTACCAATTCTCATCATACCCATATCTTAGCTATCTAACCTTCCTGAGCTTTGTCCTCTTTATGAACACCTCCGCTGGCGCTCTAATTTTTATATTACTCTTCTTTCTCGTGACCACGGGCCAAATAGACAAACCGACTAAGTGCAGACCAACAATGAAATCGTCATACCACGTCGGCTGGTTTATCTCTATTCCTCGGCTTACAATATTGGTCGGAGGTGGTGTAGTGGCAAGTAGCGCACTATCTCACACGTACGGTCAGGGGCTCGGATCCCGGATCGATGCCCGCCTAAGCCAANAAGTCATTGTACGGCCACATACGCACTCATTACGTCACTACGATTCTGAATGGAAGTCGAGTGCAGGGGCGCATCCCTCACACGGGATTGATTAACGCCAAAAACTTTGTCTTTTATCCTTTAATATTGTGGCAACTAATCTTGTAATGGAATAACTCAAACCTTCATAGAATACACCCCAATGCAAGTTCAAAGACTACAGTCCAATCATCTTCCGTTGGGACCAGAATTCCATTGGAATTATTATGGTTAAAGGGACAACGGCTTACTGCTCTGTGTAAGTAATGTTAAAAAGTACCGTAGATTTTCCAATTAGCAGCAATTGAAAAGATTTCAGTATTGATGTAGAAGGGCTTATTTCAAAAGGTTCGTCTTCTGTCAAATTGGGGGAAGACAGTGCTGAGAATCCGATTCGTAACGTAGAAGGAAAAATAAGTAATCCAATGATCACTTGCCATCGAAAGCACGACGAGGTAGGCCTTTTTCATGTAATGGAAGCTTCATGGCTGCAAGAAGGGCCTCTACAACATGCACAATGTGTTAATCCCACTTCGCCCATGCAGAACGAGTTCTTCAGCATTCACGAGTCATCCCACTGGTGTCAGAATTGTATGGGAAGACAGCTTTACTGTCTAGTCATCGTTAACTCCCACGAAAAAATGTGTAATCCCAGAACGCAGAGAAATAATTCTGTAAATCTTTGCAGAGGTCAAGTCACGGTGACTTCCAACGATGTAACTATGGCGAATTCACCGTTTACTTCTTCAATCTCTTAAGAAGATATCGAGGGTGTGCGCCATGCACGCTACCTAATTTCCAGATCGTACAATAGGTGGAATCATACAATAAGTCCAAGGCTCGTCACAGAAACTTTCAACGACCCCAAATGATCAAATCAGATTTCCATTTTGGCAAATCCAGACCTCGACGTCAACCCCAATGCAAGCAATACAGAAGAGCCGCGGGTGAAATTCAATCCCAAGCCGGGATGTTGCCCTTTCCGTTTTCCTACTTCTACGTCATGGTGCTTTATATCATTCGGATACGAGTAACCAATTGACTGTGAGAGTTTGAAGGGTTATCTGCAATGAGGCAATACATTTCAGCCACTGATATTATGCTTCTCTATCCTCAAAAGTGAGAAAATATTGAAGACGGCGATAAGTTATCAGCCAGGTGGTACGCCAAGGTCAGTTAATTGGAAGATAGCTTATTCAAGCACTTCCAGGACAAGTCAGTTGTCTATGCATCGAATACACTGGACTCATTTATAGATTACAATGAATATTTTAATGAACTCGGTAAACCTAAGCTGCACCTCGAATAAGCCTAGCCATTTATTTTACCACAGTACTAGTATGGCAGACCAGATGAAGCGGCAAAATGCGCATTGCCACACATGTATGGTCACGGGTTCGAATTGCGGGCAGATACTCACCTAGTCCAACCAAGCCTTCCATAAGTACGGGGTCGGTCAATTGCTACCAGATTCGTTTGGGGGGATGAAAGCCCTAACTTGTACTTTGGCAGGTCATCGCAAGTCACTGTACACACTACGATTCTGAATGGAAGTCGAATGCGGGGCGCACTCTAAAATGGAACAGATTGACGCTAAAGACTATATTCTTTACCCTTCACTGCTGGTATAGGCATCACTAAAGCTCAATAGTAGATATTTTCGTAGAGAACATAATGTGGTAGGTTAGTGTAACTGATTACCGATTGGCCCACAAAATCCATTACGGGCCTACTATGCATTTGAGCCTCTTTAATAGATAAAAATGCATAGAAATCCCCAGAAGTCGGCAGAGATGTCAGTAATTGTCATTCTTCTCCTACTCTTCGTCCAAATAACATTTATAGGGTAATTGAAGATAAGGAGATCCGCGTACCACATGTAATCGTCGGTAAAGAGAGTGTATCAATAGCGTCATACAACTCGGAAGACAATGAAGATATACTAGCGGTTCGTAATCATCCCTAAAATTCACTGCAAGTACAATTGAAGAATACTGGACTCGGAAGAATACTAAAAATCGTTGTCGGCCTCTTGAAGACGCCGTTCACGATAACCTCGGGTTATCTATTTTTGGACAAATACTGGAAGTGATAGCCCAAAATAGTGCAAAGGGAGCGAAGAGACGCGAAATTCGCGTATTCAGGGGCATATAAGGCTCTAGAGAAGTAGTAAGGTAAGGGTTTGAGAATGAGACGAGAGAAACTTTGAGAGACTTGTATGGAAGGGGTTATCTGGACGAGTTGTCTTAATAAGTGCGCCATTGCGTACAGCTGACTGCAGTAAGCTGTCTGTGAGCACCATGTTTTCCCGTTACAGATGGTGCGAATGCTGCAGTCTCTGCCTGTGAAGGCTGCAGCATTCGCACTAGAATGCATACGTTGGCAAAAATAAGCTTCCAGGCAGTTGACTGTACCAGCTGTACGTTAATGGGGTGCGCATTCGGACGGCTCGTCCAGATACCCCTTCCATGCAGCTTTTTTCGTAACATTCCCGTCCAAGCCCTAATTTTACCACTTTTTTGAAGCCTTATGTTTCTCCGAATGCGCCGATTCCTGTGTTTTCTTCGCCACTTTTGTACCATTCTGAACTATCAGCTCCATTAGCCGTCTGGAAGTGGACACTCCAAAGTTATCGTGAATTGAGTGAGGACCTTCTATGAATGACAGAGTCCATTTAGAAGTCTATTTCAGATTCTGGATGAACTGAATGAAGTCTTTCTGGTTCATTTAAAAGATGATAAAGTTCATGGAGCAATGGATATGTATGCAATAGCTCAAAAGGTAAGTGTGGCTATAAGTTTACTGTAGCCACTCGAAAAAGAATGAAATTCAAAAAACATCACGGATTTAAATTACCTGATCATCGAATAGTAGATACGTATATGTGAATGGATGAGAAAGATTCACAAAACAATTCGACATTATTAGCTGGTGATTAAAGAAGGACTCAGACGTGTCCAACTATAACTGGTTGGAAGAACCCATCAAAAAGGGACAGGGCTCATTCAGATCGTTATGAGCCTCACTCCTAGAATTGAATTATTAAAAAGTTCAAGGCACACGGTCGCACTGGAAGGCAGCTCACTTCTATAACATAGGTCTTCGTATATCACACAGGCACAACCAAAAGGGAAGCTGAGGGCCAGATAGTAGCACGACGTCTAGCCTACAGGGGAAAATGTACCTTTACACTTCGAAAGCTAGCCCAACATTTTCTCCTACCGTCTGCGCTCTCTTCCATATGGTTTGAGTGATCTAAACTACAAACCACTCGACTATAAACTACTACGTTGTAATATGAACTGCTAATGATTGCACCGTTAATGAATCAAATTCAAGGGCACTGGGGTCACGGCATCTATTGTCTACGCGGATGCTTATGGACTGGTTACCCGAAAATGCCCAAGTAGAAAGGCAAAGGAGGGATGCTATTTCAGATTCAACATATTGTTTGTGAGTTTTTGATTTCGTGAAAAAGATGCTGTAAATGCTCGCCTTCGCTTGAGATGGTTGCTTCTCACTGTCATTAAAAGGTGCATCCCAGGTCAAGAGGATCTCATGCAGATAGAACATGAAAACTAAGCACAGGAATCCGATACTTACCGTGATCTCATGGTAAAATGAAATGAAATGAACGCAGAATCTCTTAGACAATATAATTCATTTCGAAGTATCCTTATCTGAAAAAGTCAGTCTCGGACCTGTCATATATACGATGCACCAAAAAAGGGCCTGAGGCGAGGACAATGAAAGGGAGCTGGGTAACCGAGAGCTGGGTTGCATCACGACCAGGCCTTTCGGATAGAAACCACAGATGAATCTGTAACTGTAAGGATTGGAGTCTCGTGGGTAAAAGTTGTTCCTGGACAAACAGACGGCAGAGCGATAGGTCTTCACACACGAATGCTCTTCTCTAGAACTAGTCACTTTACCCCTTCCTAACCTATTTCGAACATCAATCCCCATTTCCCTTACCATTCTTCTGACGTTCTCCAGAGCCCTTGTTGAAGGTGACCCTAAAACATCAAAGACAATCTACTCTCAGAGCTGCTTTCGAACCCAACTGCACACTTTTAAGCCCACCTGCCAAGTGATGCAAGTGCCTTCTGCAGAAAAAAATCGCTCGAGTCGCCCTATCTCCCTAACTTAATTCTTCATTCTACTGTAACTGCAATTACTGTGACCATGCAGCAAAGCACCGCTTGAACAAACTGAAGCTCTTTTTTCTCCTAATCCAAGTAATCTGAAATGAATTTCAGGAAGAATACAAATCCTATGTTTCGAACTGCATGTACATGGACACAGGCGAATTCATTCCGGGAGTGATTCTTAGGAGTGACTTGTTGACAACAACAACAACAACAACTTCGACAACTAGTCTCATAACCACATTAGATGTTCTTACCACGAACCCAACAATGCTGAAAGAAGACGGCAATGATACAACAATGCCGATTCCCAGTTCCTCCTCACCCACTGAACTTGCTAGTCTGGAAACGAACACGACAGGGATATCGGACTCCACCGAACAGGTGCTGTCACCTATAGACAATCTATCGGATGCAACTCATATCAGCAATGATACAGAACCGACTATTTTCATTGAAGTAACATCTGCATCTACTATCAATAATGATACGATATCAACCCCTATCACCAATGATACGAACACCATATCTGACCTCGGCAGGGGAACGGAAGCAACGGAGACAGCAGCAACTTGGCAGCCAATTGTAACCACTAATGAGACGGAAACAGCCATTACTACTGCTGATGACGAAGATTATGGTAATATTGGTAATGCGACTCAAACAATGGGTAAGTAGCTTGTGCTTATTCTGAGGGAAAGCTTACGTTGAAAATTTTAGTCTCAAAGATACTTTAGGGCAATCTTGAAGCGACAAAGTGCTCATTCGCATAGGGGCACCTTCGAGTAATTGACGCTATTCTGAAAATCGACGGTTGATGCTCTCTTGGCACTTTCATGCTATTTCAAAGATTTCCATGATAGACTATAAACGTGTTATCGTTGAACCTAGGCTGCGGTAGCATGAAATGGCCGAGGATTTCAAGAAGACTTCATCTTAGTCGAAAGAATTACAAAATTCTGCGAATAATTCAGATATGTGGGCTCAAGGACTTCTGCAATTGAGCAGTGAAAGTCAAGAGGAGACGACTGTTCACAAGAAGACGACTACTGGAGCTGGTAATTTGACTAACTGGACAAGGGAATTTGTTGATAAATGTAGTGCAGCAGCAGGGCTCAGTCTGGGTCAATCAATGGTGGGATTTTTGACCACAGTTTTGACAGTGTAACTGGGAGAACAAAGACAAATGTATGGAATTGGTTAGAGCTATTGCATCAACAGGTGCCCACTCAAATGAATCAAAATCTCTGGATGAAAGCGATTTTCATGGTGCATCCTGAAGAGTTGTTTACAAAGAGGGAGTATACTCGGGAGACGGGCGTTAGGAACGACTTTGGGTAATCGACTTGCCGCTCGCGGCTGTCGCGGACCACTCATTCGCCGTTATTACAGCTTTAGCGTTTTT